GTTTCGAGGGTGCAGGACAAGAGGAGACCAGGGACAGAGCTGCAGGAAAGAGTGGGCTGACCACTGCAGGGGGCAGCAGGCCGGGAAGACTCAGCCTGGGTCAAGCCCCTGCTCTGCTGAGGGTTGCTGGGGTGGGAGGCAGGGCCTGGGTGGAAACCTGGGTAGCCTGGAAGCTGGGGTTCTCGGGTCCGCTTCCCACTATTTGGCTATTTGGCTCCCCTCCCTGACTCCTCTTGACTCCTCAGTTGCTTAATTCAGCTCAACCTGTGGAAGAGGCTCCTTCCGCTCTGCCAACGCGTAGCTCCATCCTGCCGCTGCGGGATCTGGGGCTCGGTCCGGTCCCCTGGACTGTCTGTCTGTCTGATGTCTGTGCGGCTCCCTCGGGATAACTGCTCTGGACAACTTTAACTCTACTCAGACAGATCGTCCGATCTCCTGGCCCCGACATCTCCCACCACTGCATCAAGCCAAATTACTCAGCCCCCCCAGCCCCAGGCTCCGGTGAAATCCGATTAGCAGGAGAGAGCTGTGCTGAGCTGACAGCTCCTCCGATAATTGCTTCCCAAGGAAGAGATGCAAATCAACCCACCCAGCCTGTCCCCGCTCCTCTGCTGGGGACCCAGGCGTCCAGGCCCAGGAGGGGGAGGGCACCTGAGTTGGGGAGACTTGGAAGCTGGCACCGGCCTCCAGTTAAGTGGCATCCATCCGCCAAGCTGGCCTGTGCTGCCTTGGGCTGAGGCGGCGGTGACAGGGTGGTGAAGCAGAACCAGGGGCCTCACTGCTCTGTGTTACTGTCTCCACTGAGAGAGTCACCCTGCCTCCCCCCGTCCCCGGCTGGGGAAGAACCGTAGGCACCTGCTTCCCAGGGAGGAAGGTGAGGACAGAGATACAGAAGCCCCTGGGCAGGGCGATGGCTGAGCCTGCAGCCCGGGTCCCTCGGTGGCCCAGTCCTAGGGGGCAGGAGAAGGGGGTCTGCAGGGTGCGCAGGTGGCTTTCTCGGTCTGTGTGTCTCCTCTCCACAGGTGGGGGTGGGGGCGACATTGAGGGGCAAGTCCCTGCAGGGCTGGGCTGGAGCTGGGGTGTGGTATGTGTTTGGAGGCTTACACCATTGTGGCTGTACCAGGGACGCTGTCTCCTTGGGGTGCAGTAGTCCCTGCTCACTCCACACATAGGGCCCCTCTCTACTTCCCTAAATGGGGGCCCTTTGGGAGCCTTTTAACACCTCTTCCTTAATACCTTTCCTTTCTACATCTTCACCTCAAGCTCTTTCTTTTTTTTTTTTTTTAATTTTTTTTTTTATAGAGGCATGCTTATTTATTTATTTGTTTGCTTGTTTGTTTGTTTGTTTATACATGCACTGGGTACAGTCAGAAGCGTGGGAGGGTGAGAGAATTCACCAGAGCAGAGCAGGCAGAAGGACCGAAGTACACTGCCGAGGGGAGCAGCGGGCGGCAGGAGAGGTCTGCGCGCCATGTGGGACCCTCCTCCGGTGGCCGGGGAGCAGCCAGGGATCGAACCGGCGCCACAGAGGCTGCGTGCAGCTTTGCAACCCAGCGCTCAACCACTGCGCCACCGGGGAGGCCCACCTCAAGCTCTTTCATTCTCTGACTGCCTCGTCCTGTCTTCTCCTGACTTTGGAAATGTGCAAAGTGCTTTCTTTGCAACCCTGAACCTCCAGTTCCCAGGCCTAGCCCACAGGGGCACTGTCTTTGTGGAAGTTTCCAGGAATGAGGTGGCTGGTTTCGTGGCCTGTGCTCCGTGTGTGACATGGCCTGCGGTCTGGATCCGGGTTCCTCACCTGGCACCTACTGGGACTCTCACACCGCTAGGCACCGCCTAAGCACCTTGTGCTGTCAAGTCATTGAATTATCACGAAAGAAAACATAGAGTGCAGGGAGAGATGACCCCATTTTACAAATGAGCTATGGAGGTGTGGACAAGTCATGTAAAATGCCCAAGGTCACCAGCAGTGACAGAGTAGGATCCAAACCCAGGCAGTCTGAGTCTCTGCTGTGTCACCTCTCCTCTTCGAGCAGTTATTGGGCTGGCTGAGAGCGGTATGGTGGAGCTGGGGGGGATGGCTACACAGGGGGTCAAATACCAGATGCCCCTTTGGGGTTCCCCAAGCCAGACGTTATGGGAACTGACAAGGGTGACACCTGGGGCCTCTGGAAGGGGAGATGTGGTCTTCACCTGTCTGATCCCCAGTATTTTCTCCGCTGGAGCCCCGCAGCTAGACAAGTCCCCTCCCCTACTTTGGAAGCAGGGATGAGGAGACGTGCTGAAGGATCTACCCAGCAGCCAGTGCTAGGCCCAGTCAGGGCTAGGACCTCCAGAGGCCGATAGATGGCGCTCGTGGCCCAACACAGCCCTTGCAGGCCTCGGAAACCAAAGGAAAACAAGCCAACAGGTTAACCCCTTCCCGGCTGGACTCAGGCCCCAGGAGCAGGGTGGTGGGTGGCGGAGGGTCCTGCCCCAGGCCTGGCCTGCCCCTTGGGAGTGACCCAACTGACTAAGCTCTTGTTCGGGCCATAGCCTGAGTTTGCTTCTGCTCCTGCCCCATTTGCTCTGTCTATAAGTCACAGTCAGCCAGCAGTCCCTTGGAGACTTCCAGAAGACCTGGAGATTAAGACGTGGATAGGGCTGGGTGAGAGGGTCTCACCCCAGCCCAATTTTCATTTTTCAGGCTCTATCTCTCAAAAGTCTATGGGTCTGTTTCTAAGCACCTCCCACTTCAGGAGAGTGCGTCATCTCCATCTTTCCCGTGAGGGGCTCAGTAGATGAGGAGGAGTAGTGTGGGCTAGAGAGAGAAAAAAGCCCTTGGGTCCCTTTGGGGTCAGCTATAGGGAATCCCTCTGGGGGCTCCAGATTCAGTTCCTCTCTGTCAGGAGTCCCTATTTCTGGACTCCCTGGAGTGAGTGGTGTAACAGGAATAGAAACAGTTATCCAACTCTTTCAGGAAGTTGAAATGGGGGAGTGAGGGCCCGCAGGAATCTTCACTTTCCTGTCATTCATTTCACTCACGACTGTCCAGCCAGAAGCAGACCAGGAGTGTGGCAGGGATGCCATGATGATAAACTGGTTGCCCACGGAGGTGAACTATGGGTAGTAACCCTCTGCACATCTTAGGCAATGAGATGATACACAGTGTGGTTCATCCTCCCTCCTAATTTTTTCAGAGACACAAAATGCATAGACCTATGGAGACAGAGAGGCATGAGCGGCAGTCAATTCCAGAATCGCAGGATAATTTTTCAGTCATTCCAGAGAATGAAGTAAAGATGGAGAGAGAGACAGAGGCACAGAGAGAAAGCTACACAAAAGACCAGGAATGGAGAGACATTTACATAGGCAGAGAGAGGCAAAGACAGAGAGGGAGAAAAATTGGCACAAATGGAAACTCAGGAAATAATGCATTTTGTGAGGTGGGTGAGTAATTCCATTTCCGAAGTCCTCTGAGGGTGGATGGTTTCTAACCTTTGGTGCAGAGGGTTACTACCCATAGTTCCCTGAAGCTCCGCATTAAGTTTGTGTCTGTTGGTGGGAGAGCAGGGGAGGTTTGGGAGGAGGCTAGCAGCCTTGTTTTCTCACTTCTTCCTATTCTGGGGTTCATGGGTCTCCTCTACCACGTGCAGGAGATCTTGCTTTTCCCTAATCAGAATCATGGCTGTGCTGAGGTGTCGGGAGGTGGGAGTGGGAGCAATCTAGAAGGTAACAGTTGTAGGGGTTTTCCAGTTTCAGAAAAATCTTACAGCCAAGTTGCAGAAACAGACCCAGACAGAGGACAAGAACAAAACTAGGAGTGGAGTTTTGGACATTGGTGATGGAGGTGAGAGGGAATGAACTATTAAGGGCAGCCATGGGGCTAGGTTTGGTCAGAACATTTGAGGGGCAGGGTTGGGAAGGATGGGAGGTTATAGGTATGAGTAGCTAGGGTTGGAGGGTGAAAGCAATGGTAAAGCCATTAGAGCCAGGGGCTTGAACATTAATATGGGAAATGGGGGGGCCTCCCTGGTGGTGCAAGGGGTTAAGACACAACCTATGAAGCCATATTCCGCAGCCACTACAGCACACGTTTGATCCCCAGCCAGGGAGATACCCACATGGCGCAGCAGACCTCTCCTGACTCGCCCGCTGCTCCCCTCAGCAGTGTATTTCAGTCAATCCGCCTACTCTGCTCCCCACTCTGTCTCTGGTGGATCCTCTCATCCCCCCAAAACTCTGCCCTGTACCCCAGTTTTTGTATGTATAAATAAATAAATCTTTAAAAAAATATATGGGAAATTGAAGAGTCTCAAAGTCGTCACTAAAGAGTTGTTAGGAGATGGCAGAAGTGCCTCTGTGGAGGTTCTACATACAGCTCCGCAAAGGAGCAGCAGGGAGGCCACTGCTCATACCCACAGGGGGTGAGACTACAGTTAGTTGAAGCTCCCTGATGCACCATTCCTTTCAGAAAGTGTTGTGGACCAACTTTTGGAGGGTGATGATGCCCTTTAGGGTTCCAAAAAAGGATTTCTTTTTTTTAAAAAAAAAAGATTTATTTATTTATTTATTTATACAAGAACCGGGATATAGGCCAGACGCGCTGGAGGGTGAGAGGATTCACCAGAGGCAGAGCGGGGAGCAGAACAGGCGGACTGATGAAACACACAGCTGAGGGGAAAAGCGGGCAAGACAGGAGAGGTCTGCTGCGCCATGTGGGTAGCTCCCTGACCGGCCGGGGATCGAACCCGTGCTGCAGAGGCTGCGGATTACTTCATAGTGCGGTGCTTACCCTTTGCGCCGGCAGGGAGGCCCCCAAACCAGGATTTCTGAAGTCCTCACAGAACTTTGCCTCTAAACTCTCAAGACTTGCTCTCCAGGCCTGGTGAACAGATAAACTACAAGCCCCAGAGTCACTTAGCGATAACTTAGCTCGCCTTCCGGGGACTGGCCATTTCCGGCGGAAGTGTGCGGCGCGCGCCAATCTCCTTCCCCACACAGCCAGACTACAACTCCCGCCGCCCCCCGCGCGCGGGGCGGGGCAGGAACCGGAAGTCGGAGGGGACCTGGGCCAGGTGAGCGCGTCGGGCCCGGGGGCCGGGGCTGGGCCGCGCGGGGCTCCCGGGGCTCCGGGGCGGGGGCCGGCGGCCAGTGGGCGCGTCCGTGTCCGACACCCCCTCCCTCTGCCCGGTCTCGCGCCGGCGATGGGGAGCAAACCCCAAGACGCTGCCCTGGAGGCATGCGGGACGAGGCTTCCCCGGAGGCGGAGGCAGAGATTTCTGCTGAGCCCTCGGCGCCCGCCCCCGCGGAACCCAGAGGGCGATGGCTTGTTCTTGAGCCGGCGCCGGTGTTAGTTTCGGGTTCATTGTGGATCGTTGGGGAGCCCTGGAGTGTCCCCAAGGGGAAGGGGAGTAGGTAGTGGCTTTGATTCTTCCCTCACTGAACTTAGCAGCAGAGCACCTCAGTGGGCTGACTTACTGCGGGGTCACCCCCGGCCTCCTTTGCTCTTCCTGTGACAGGACGCTGACTTATAAAGTGCATTCTCAAGTCGCTGCCTCTTGCTGGTTCTCAGTAGGCTTCCAGGTCCTCATGCTCAGGACGTCAGAGCTTCAGTTACAGTGCATTCTGATTGTGCATCACAGGCGTTACACAGACTAGCCGACATTTTATTCATGTTGCATTTCTTCCTCTCCGAGAGATTGCCACTGGGCCTATCTTTTAAGAGATTCATAAATACTGAAAAAAGTTGGGCCTTCCTGGTGGAGCAAGGGGTTAAGTCTCAGCACTACCAAGCTATCACCAGTCACTGCAGCCTGAGTTCCATCCCTGGCCAGGGAGCTGACCCACAAGGCGCCCAGACCTCTCCTGTCTCGCCTGCTGTTCTCCTCAGCAGTGTATTTCAGTGGATCCATCTGTTCTGCTCCCCACTCTGTCTCTGGTGAATCCTCTCAAACTGCTCCCTCTGCTCTACACCCAAATTCTTGTATGCATAAATAAAAATAAGTCTTTTTTAAAATACTGAAAAAAATTAATGAGACTAACAGCTGATAGTAGTTGGGATGGGATTTATGGTTTTCATTTGATAGAGAATTAAATGACTTGCTTAAGAGAATCTTAGAAATGATGGCCTCTGGTGGCACAATGGGTTAAGCACAGCCCTATGAAGCAGTCTGCAGCCTCTGCAGTACGAGTTCAGTCCCCGGCTGGCCAGGGGATCCCCAGCCCACATGGTGCAGCAGACCTCTCCTGACTTGCCCGCTGCTCCCCTCAGCAGTGTATTTCAGTGGATCTGCCTGTTCTGCTCCTCACTCTATCTCTGGTGAATCCTCTCACCCCCACATCTCTGGCCTGTGTCCCGGCTCTTGTATGCATAAATAAATAAATCTTTAAAAAAAGAGAGAGAGAGAGAATCTTAGAAATGAGACCAGGACTAGAATTTAAGTCACTTATATCAGTCTGTGATGTGGCTGAGATCAGGCTCTGCAACATTGAAAATAAAGGCTCATCACTCTCAAGTGTACTCCTAGCCTCTTGCTGTCAGCAGCGTGCTCTTGAAAGGTCTAAGGGCCAAAGGTAGACCCATCTTAATACTCAGTACTTGAGAGGTGGGGCAGCCGCTCCACTCACATTTTCTCTACTTGGGAGATGCCCTTGGGGCATCTAGGATATGTGAGTTCTCCATTTCAGCACTTGTTTGAGCCTAGATTACTCTGGGTGAACCTGAACAGTTCACTTGAAGTCTTCTGAGATCAGTCTGGGGAAGGAGTTCTAAGTTTGGCCCCTGATTTTTTTTTCTCTCATTTCTTGTAGGCCAGTGTCAAACTACACATGATGGATCCAGCTGTTATGTCGACTCTGAGATGCCGTCAATCAAGAGGTTACTCTTGACTTGGGCAGAAGGTTCAGAGGGAGGAAGAACCATGGTGTGTGCCTTGTGAGAAGCCCAGCATGTCACTGGAAGCAAGCAGAGTGCAGCGTAGGTTGCTGAGCCTGTGTGATCCCAGGGTCTAGAAGTGGAGAGGAGTCTGTTAAGAACGGTTCCTTGGTAGGAAGTAGTTTAAAGGATGGACAGAGCTAAGTGGGTATTTAAGTACCTGTTCAGAGCTAGGACCTTGAAGATAGAGAAATCCAGCAGGGCCCCTAATCTGCTCAGATCTACTTGGGGAGGTGAAGTGTGCGTTCCTGAGGCAGTCTCTATGGTGACACAGTTCTCACCTTACACCAACCAGTACAGTCACCTGGGGAAGCTTGTTTAAAATACAGATTTCCAGACCTCATCAGACCCAGTGTAGTGGTGGGAAGGCATGGAGCAGGATCTCTGTGACCTGAGCAGACGGGTGAAGGAGAGAGTCTTGGAGCCCTCGGTGGCTTTTCAGGCTTTTATTGAGATTTACCAGGTACACAGCTGGCAAGGGGTGCCAGGGGGCTGGGAGGCTGACAGGCCTGTCAGCCTCCCAGCCCCCAGCAAGTCTTTACTCTTTCTGGGCTCTCTGGTGGTCTCTGCTCCTCTTCTGCTCTCGTTCTGTCTGCTTCTGCTCTTCTGGCCTCCTGGTGACACCGCCCTTATAAGCCCAGCCTTAGTACCCACTTACGCATGCCCACACCCTCTTCTAGGTGCCCGCCATCAGGCATGCATTCAGGACCACAGGGATCCATCATCAGTCCTAATGGCGGGAAGGCAGAAAAGCCTGATAGTTTTTATTTACCCTACACCCAGTCTTGTGCGGGGGTGAGATTGGGAAGCTTTGGCAAACTCCACACTATTCTGAGGAGGGAAGGTTCTACCCAAGGGCTGGTCTGAGTTGCTTATTGAAGGACGGGTGTGATTTGGGGGTGTGAAGAAGTAGGGAACTCAGTCCTGGCAACTAAGAGGAGCGTGTTTGGTTGGGTTTGTAGAAATGGCGCGTGTGGGGTTTTGGAAGTTGGGTGGGAAAGGTGCTTTGCAGGTGGAACCAAGTGCTCAGGCTGGACACGGGGTTTGTGTGGGAGAAGGTGGGCGGGAGTGGCCTCTGCCGCTTACAGAGCTTGCTCGCGTGCTTCCTCCCTCCTCCCTCCTCTTCCCCCCTTTTCCTCACTTCTCCCCTCTCCTTCCCTCTCCCCACGTGCACATAACTGCTCGTTCCCTCCCCCTATGGAGGAGATAGCATTATTTTTAGTATTTGGATGAGACCGGGATCACCCTGAGCTTCTGGTCACGGTTATATAGCTTGTCCGCGTGTGTTCGGAGTCTGGTAATCATCCTGCTCTGCCGAGGGGCGTGGGGGAAGGCCGGGCTGGGCCGGGGGGGAGTGTGTGATGAGCAGGGTGGCGGACGGAACTGTCGGAGGCAAGATGGTGTGGGGGGTTCGGAGCGCGCCCTTGAGGCGGATGGGTCGGGCTCAAATCCCAGCTTCATTACTTGCTAGCTGCGTGACCCTGGGCACGTTGCTTGATGGGGTAAGCCTCAGTCTTCTCGCCTGTAACATGGGAGCAGTAATACCACCTCCTGGGGTTGTTGCGAGGATCAATGAGGTGTACCCAGCACAGAGCAATTGCTCGCCACCTGGAAGCTGTTGTAATTAGCCCGCTAATTAGTCTCCAGGCTGTGGCTGTGCACCTGCAGCTCATTCTTCAGCACAGGACACAGCCCACCCGGGCTGGGCTTGTTTTATTAAGGATGACGGGAAAGTGCTGCAAGTTTGCCGCTGGTAAATACTTGCTGGAAGCCTCCACGCGCTCGGCCTGGCCTGGGAACTAGAGGCTCAAGACCTGTGCCTGCTGGAAAGGAGTCCTGGAGGGGGGCTGGCGGTTATGGGTTGTCCTCACTGGGTGATAAATGAGAAGAAGGGGTGTATGAGGCTGGTGGGGGAGGGCCCCCTTATTACCATGAACTGAGATTTACTCCGTCCCGCCTGGAGGTTGGGGAATGACGGACATGGTTTCTTTGGAGCCCAGGAAACAGTAGTAGGGCCCTGACCAACAGGTCCCTCCCACCCTGGGGCTGAGGGGGCCTTTGTCCATCTTTTTTTCAGGTGACAGTGACATGGCCGAGCCCCACACTTTCCCACTGGAACCCCTCCCTGCGCCTTCAGGTGCCCTGATGGGTCATCCCCAGCCTGGCCCTCAAAGCTTGGCCGAGGGCTTCCTGGAAGAGGAGCGGCGCCTCAATGATGAGCTGAAGCAAATGCAGTTTTCAGAGCCCGTGGGCATCATCTACAACCCTGTGGAGTATGCATGGGCGCCTCACCACGCCTACGTGACACGCTACTGCCAGGGCCCCAAGGAAGTGCTCTTTCTGGGCATGAACCCGGGACCCTTTGGCATGGCCCAGACTGGGGTAAGGTCTCGGCTCCCCCGTTGGCTGGGGCGGGAGAGTCCGGAGTGGGTGCCTGACTGCTGTGGAGGAGGAGCCTGTGCATGACGGGGCCGAGTGGGGGGCCCCAGTCCTCTCCCGATCCACGCGCTGGCTCCTGTGGTCTCAGACGCGCCCGGCCTCACTGCTCTAGTTAACCAAGCACATTAATGGCAGTTCCGCTTCCCCTGTGAGCTGCTCGCTAATTGCTTCTGCAAGCCCGTCCTTCCGCCAGCCCATCCTTACCTCACCTGGCCGGATCTCCCCTCTCTGCAGTGTGGTCAGGGTCAGGAGAGGGACCAGGGCTGCCGGCGGACCAGGGTTAGGGGGGACTGCTTGATGGGCAGGCGTGGAGAGACACAGGCATCCAGGCAGTCTGGGTTTTTCTGAGCAGAGGGCAGGCTCAGAGTGGAGCCGGGCTCCAGGCCTGCCTGCTGTTCAGACCTCTGGATGAGTGACTACCCCTCAGCGGGGGTGCTTGGCAGCTGGGGGAAGGGAAGAGGCTTCAGGGCAGAGGCTCAATCGCTTTTATTGACCCCAGCTGGGTGATGAAAGATGATCAATGCTGATCGATGAAAATGACAGCCTGAGGCCTGAGACCACGAGGGCACCCAGAGAGCAGTGGTCAGCCCTGTCCTGTGCCTCCGCTGACCTTGGCTGCCTTTCAGGCTCACGCATCTGTCCCCAGTAGGACCCTCATCCCCTGTGTAGGTGTTCCCTGGGGGATAGTGGGGGGGTGAGCAAATGGGGGGGCTGGGGGGGCAGGCCCGAGGCTCATGGAGGGTGGCCGGGGGCGTGTTGGCCCAGAGCCTAGGCGGCAGGTCTCCAGATTGAAGCCCTCAAGCCTCTCTTCTTCCCTGCAGGTGCCCTTTGGGGAAGTGAATGTCGTCCGGGACTGGTTGGGCATTGGGGGTCCTGTGATGACCCCTTCCCAAGAGCACCCTAAGCGACCAGTGCTGGGACTCGAGTGCCCACAGTCAGAGGTGAGCGGTGCCCGATTCTGGGGCTTTTTCCGGAACCTGTGTGGACAGCCCGAGGTCTTCTTCCGCCACTGTTTTGTCCACAACCTGTGTCCCTTGCTCTTCCTGGCCGCCAGCGGACGCAACATCACCCCTGCCGAGCTGCCTGCCAAGCAGCGGGATCAGCTTCTCGGGGCCTGTGACGTGGCCCTCTGCCGGCAGGTGCAGCTGCTGGGCGTGCGGCTGGTGGTGGGAGTGGGGCGGCTGGCGGAGCAGCGGGCGCGGCGGGCCCTGGCGGGGCTGATGCCAGAGGTCCAGGTGGAAGGGCTGCTGCACCCCTCCCCTCGGAGCCCCCAGGCCAACAGGGGCTGGGAGGCCGTGGCCAAGGAGAGGCTGAACGAGTTGGGACTGCTGCCGCTGCTGACAGAGTGAGCCCCCGGGCCTGGTGGAGGACACGCCGGACTCCCAGGTTATTCTTGGTGCGCAGCTCTACGTGCCTTCCTGGACTGGAGCAACAGGGGCCGCGTGGCCGTTCTCATACTACTGCTTACCGCCCCAGGTCCTGCCTTCTCCCCTGCCTCTGTGGTCCTGTGGCGCCTGACTCCACGGAGCGTCGGCCCTGCAAGCCGCTCTACCTCACCGTCCCCTTGGGAGCCTCCGTTCAGCAGAGAGTGACTTCTCATATTTGCTGTTTTAGAGGAAAGAGCCTGTCAGGCTCCCCAGCCATGCTCACAGAACAGCTTCCTTCAGCTGATCTTTCCTCACAGGGACCAGGATAAAAATGGGGCGTGAATGTGACGCTGGAACGTCTGTCGGGAGACAGGCTGGATCGGAGGGAGAGAGTGCCCCGCAGGGCCCGGCAGGAAGGGCCAGAAGACCTGAGCCTTCTGTCCAGCTGTGAGACGTGTGACCTCTGTGACTTTGGACAAGTTGGTTAACCTCGCCGAGCCTCAGGATCCTCCTCCGTAAAATGGGGATCCCTATCTCGCGGGGTTGGCGTGAGGATTAACTGAGAGAACACTTAGGGGTGCCCTGCGCGCGGCCTGGCGCATGGTGCTCATCAGACCTCTTGTCTCCCTGCCTCCAGGTTGGGGACTCACTGCACTACAAAGGAGCCCCTCCACTTTCAGGACCCGGCTGGCGGTGGGGGTAAGGGAGTGGGCCTTCCCCTGTGGCCTCCACCCTGCTGGAGACCGACCAGTGACTGTCCGGGAAAGCCAGCCTGTGGTTTTCAGTGGAAGCATTAAAAGCTCCTAAATCCTTTTGTGTTTGTCCTTTTTCCTCCTCCTGCGTGTCGGTGGTAGGATTTCTCCTTTCACCACTTCACTGTCGCTGGGGGGACGAGAATGTCTCTGATGGTCTGGCCAACGCGGCAGGGGCCCGGGGCCTGTCCGGAGCGGGGCTGCTACTCGGGCCGTGCGGGACGCGGGTGCTGGGTGGGCGGGAGCCCGTGTCCCCGGCTGACTCATTTCTGTGTCTGCGGAGCAGCGGGCGAGCCCTGGGTCAGGCTGGGGAAGGTCCATGGGGCAGAGCCTAGCTGAGCCCACTGTAATGGGGACCCACGGAGAGATGGATTCCCCAACAGCCTCTGCTTTCAGTCAGTGAGAGTTTTCATATCTCCCCGGGCCCTGCTGTATAAGGAGTTTGGAATTTGGCCTTTGTCCTTGGTTCCTGGGAGGGAGTCTCGAAGAGCTTGGGATTTCCCAAGAGAGGGAGGGGAGCCTTGTTTGCTCACGGCGACCCCTTCAGGCCACACTGAGTTTCTGCTCAGATGTGACTCCCCACGGGGAGAGCGAACTGTGAGTAGAGGGTCGGGACTGTGAGTGGCTGGCTTGGGGGGGGCAACTGAAGGTTGAGTTCATCCACGGTGCCAGCGTTGTCAGTGAATTGTGCCTGCGTGAGAAAATCCTGATAAAAACTTTGGACACTGGGGTTTGCTGAGCTTCCTGTTTGGCGAACACCTGGATGTAGCAGAAGGTTCTGTGTCCTGATTCCTTGGGGAGAGGACATGGGAGCTGTGTTTGGGACCCCTCAGACCTCGCCCTATGTGTCTTTTCACGTGGCTGCTCTTGTTTTCTAGCCTTCATAATAAACTCACTGTAAGAACTGACTTCTGTGAGTCATTTTAGCAAATTATTGAGGGGGGTCCTGAAAACCCCCACATTTGAAGTCAATTGGTCAGAAGTTTAAGTGGCCTGGGGAGCTCTGCACTTGCAGTTGGCATCAGAGGGTGAGTGCCCTTAACCTGTGGGGCACGGTAGTTAGCATCAGAATTGCATAACAGTGTTGCTCCTCTTGAGCCATAAACACCTTTTCTCTCCCGCCCTACACAGTGCCAAATAGTCTGGGCCTCAGGGTGCAAAACATTGGAATAGGTGCAGGAATAATGAGAGATGGAAACCATTGTTCCCTTGGGTCTGTTGCTGAGGTAGTCAGGGAAAACTGGAGGAGGTGGCATTTCAGAACTTAGAGACTGGGAAAGTTTGGGGGCGCTTAGAGAAGGACATTACGTTCAAGCATCACATACAAGACCAATCATTGGCTTGACCCAATTGGGAGAAAAAGGTGGAGAGGTAGGTTGGTGCCAGTTTGGGAAGGGTCTTGAATGCTAGATTAAGCGTTGAGAATGTAAGTGCACTGGGGGAGGTGAGGTGCACACACACACACACAAACACACAAGCACGCACGCGCGCGCAAGCACTTCAAGCATCCAACAGCAGGTTGGGACTCAGACGGGCGTGAGGGGCAGGCAGACAGGCAGAGCTGGTGCACATGGTCGGGGACGGGAAGGAGGCTTAGAGGAGAGATGTCCCGGAGGGTAGCAGGACCCTGAGAGCTGACAGCTGGGTAGGCGTCATGGAGTCATGGGGTGGGCGTGGGGCTGGACAGCGGGCCAGGCCCACAGCAGTAGAGGCCGGGATGATGACCTGAAGGCTTAGGTGTGGCAGGGTCCCTGCTGGGTTGGCGTCTAGTGGGGCTGTAGCCCTCGATCGTTGGGGTGTGTCTTGTCAGGGAGAGGTTGGTGTGCGTCCGGGCCCACCCTCTCCCCAGGGACTTTATTAAGACTTTATTAGTCGTCGAAGGCTGCCGTCACACACCACCACAGACGGACGGCTTAAAGCACAGAAGTTTATTTTTTCAGTCCCGGGGCCTGGAAGTCCCGAGATGCAGATGTCAGCAGGTTCCGTTTCTTCTGGGCTCACAGGTGGCCACCGTCTCCCTGTGTCCTCCACGGCCTTTCTGTGTGCGCGCCTCCCTGGCCTCTCCTTAGAAGGACACTGATGACCTCACTTAACCTTAGAGATCTCCGAATGCATCACTTTGGGGATTAGGACTGCAGTGTTAGGATGGGGGGAGGGTGGGAGAATTCAATTCCTAACAGGCACCCCAAATCATACATGTCACTGCTTTTTCTGTCCCCCCACCAGTGTCAGCCTCTAGCAGAACAGGGTACTCAGGAGTGCCTTTTCTTCAAGTGGGGGCGGGGACGGGGCTGTCGTGATGGCTTCACAACTGGCTGACAAGACTTCCCCAGCAGACTGGCCTACTGCTAATTCATTCTAGAGCATTTTCTTCAGAGCAGATGGTCTTAGGGGGAAGGAGCTTGCTATTTCCTCCGGAGCCGAAGGGGATGGAGACTTCAACTGCTACAAAATGATAATGTGAGAAGAATTTTAAAATCAAATTGAAATGATTTGGAATCACCTAGAGCTCTGAAGTCTGCTACGCATGTCATGGATGGCTATTTACATTTGAATTATTTAAAATTAAGTAAAATAAGAAGTTCTATTCCTTCGTCACTAGCCATATTTCAAGTGCTCAATAGCCACACGTGGCTGGTGGCTACTGATCAGAGGGGCCGGTGGGAAGCTCCATCACTGCAGAAAGTTCTGTTGGACAGCACAGGCCTGGAGATCGGTGGCTTCCAGCCACTGCCTGTGAATTAGAATTCATCCGTGAAGATGACAATGTGTGTCCCTGCTCCATCTGAAGAGATTTGGGTTTGGGAGGTGCGGGGGGCAGCCGGTCTCTCCTTTCCTGTGTGCTGTGGACACGCAGTGGGGTTAAGGTGGGTTTGCAGGGAGTATCCTGAAGGCAAGGACAGGGTCTCTTCTAATCCCTTCCCCAGCACACTGTGAATGGGCAGAATGAGGGGTACCCTGCAAGCCCCAAACCTGCCCACTCTAAATAGGTTCTGTCATCCTCTACATCAAGACAACTTTAATGCATAAGACCTTGAATGGAAAAGAATTTTAATACAATTGGTGCATAATAATTAGCGTGTAATAGAAGAGAAACAATATAGTTTTCAAGTCAAGCATCCGAAGTTACCCACCCCCTCGGGGGCAAATGCCCAGCGAAGCAGGGTGGCCCGAAGCTTGTCACAAGTCTAAGGCACTTCTGGTGGAGACCCACAGGAAGGCGGCAGAAGGCACTGGGCGCATCTGGAAGCAAAGAGAAAAATCAAAAGGAGCGTAAAGGCTGCCATCATCAGCCTCCCACGGCGTCTCTGCGCACGCCCGCAAGCCTCGAGCCCAAGTCTAAGGCCAAGAAGCAAGTGTGGCTGCTGCTTCACTGTCTTCTGGTTCACGTGCTTCCTCCTCCTCCGCTAATCTCCGTCCGCTCCTTTCCTGCTGCCCCCTCAGTGCTTTCACCCGGTCTCCTTTCGCTTCCCTGCGCCCTACTCCGCCCTTCTCCCCCCTCAGGGGGGGCAGGGAACGCGCACTGTCACCGCACCTGCTACAGCGTGGGTGCAGGACAAGGTGCAAGTAAGGCGCGACACGTGTTTTGGAGACTGACCCCAAGGGGCACACCCAGCAACAGCGCCGTCCGCAGAGCTTGTTGCCTTTGCCCAGGGAGGGTGGTGCACGTTGTAGTCCGGAGGAGGCATGGAGGCTCAAAGAGTCCCACTCAGAATGTGTCCATCTGTTCCCCATTCTCTGTTTCTCTCTCTCTCTCTCTCTCACACACAGAGCTGTGCTTGGACTGGGGGTGCTTCTGAGAGGCAGAGGAATGGCGTGTCAGGGAGGGGAACTGCTCTTTACCCCACCCCCCCCACTGAATCAGGGGGGCTTGAGAGAGTTTCGAGTGTGACCACTGTGCGGTCCTTCACTTTCCTTTCTCAACTCGGCAGGCATCTGTTGGTGGCCGCCGTGTGCCACGCCCGTGCCAGGCCCGGCGGGGAGAGCCAGGACCGAGGAGATGATTCTTTGCTCCCACGTTGCTCCCTTCTGGCGCCGGGAGTCGCAGGCACGTGACTGTAGCACAGACCAAGGGGACGCGCGTTGTGAGCAAGGTATGAACACAGCGCTCTGCACACACTGGCAGCGCACAGATGAGCCCGCGGAGCGGGGGTAGGAGGTGTGTGGCCTGTGAGACAGGCCAGGGCCAGAGAGTTCTCTCGCCCTTGCTAAATCCTGCCCCCTCCCTGGAGTGGCTCTTCAGCAAGGGCGCCGCTGTGCCGTGTGTCTCCGAGAATTGCTCAGCCGCACCTGCAAGGGGTTAGGAGACAGGTGAGGGAAGCGGCTGAGGGAGCAGGAACGGGGCCCGAGCGGAGAGCTGTGTGTGGCTGCGCGTGGCTGCGCGTGGCTGCGCGTGGC